CACATTGTGACATCATTGATCCTGATGATAAATATTGTTCAGAGGCAGGTGATGTGGTGAAAATATAATATCACGATGCTTTAAAAAAATTTTTTTTATTATCTCGAGATCACAAGATAGTTAAGTTGTGGTTACAACTTAGTAAGGCGTGGGAACAAGATAATTAAGTTGTGGTCACGACTTAGTAAGGTCTGGGAACGAGCTCATGCTTTATTAAGATGAGGTCAAGTTTTAATTATCGTGTGCCCACGCCTTACTAAGTCGTGACCACGATTAAGCTTTATCACGATAGTGATAAATACTGTCATACAGAGCCCTGCTTGTGACACATAACACGTGAAATAACATGTGGCCACCCCGTATTGATGCATGGGAACGAGATCCTAATGCATGGCCATGACTTAGTAATGTGTGGGAACGAGATAACTAAGTCACTGCCACGACTTAGTAAGGCCTGGGAGTGAGATCATGCCTTATTAAGCTGTAGTCAAGGCTTAATTATCTCGTTCACACACCTTACTAAGTTGTGGCCGCGCATTAGGATCTCGTTCCCACACCTTACTAAGTCGCGGACACATTTTATTTTTGTTTACACGGGATGTCACCAGCAGGGCTCCGTACCGCCCAGCCCTGACTCTTATATGTTCTGAAGCGTGTAGTTGATCAGTACCTGGTCAGTTCTGGTGGCCGCCCGCTGTGTGATCTCGATGTCCTCGTTACAGATGAAGCCATTGCTCTTCAGGTTGTCCAAAACGCACTGCGTGTTCTTCACGTGCTCCACTAGAACCTCCCTGTGTTTGGTCAGCATTCTCAGAAACGGAGCTCCGTCCATCACCGCGCCCCTTCAGACACGCGCGCACTGTCAGCTGACGGGTCCTTTCACTCCCGCCATCGAGCTCGGCGTCAAACCGAGATCCTCACCCAAACACGCTCCGCACAGACCAGCGCAGTCCGGCAGGGGCTCGATCTGACCACAGCCTTCAATCACAGCAAACACAGTCCGGATCGAGCAGGAGAGAAAAGCGAAAGTGAAACCTGCAGCCGAGAAGCTCAGATCCGGGACGGAGCGCGCTCGAAAGTGGCGAACTCGGCGAAGCCGCTCTGCTCTCTGTTTTTGGAGGAAGTGAAACTTTAAAAAATGGCTGGTCGCTCATGAAACGTGGTCCTGAGCGCCTCTCCTGCTTCTCCTCTCTGCTGCTGCCACCTCGCTGAAAACACGAGGCTGAGCTGAGCTTCTGATTGGAGCTCTCCGTTCCACCTTAAATGGCGCAGCAGTTACAGACAGAGGAATATAAAACTAAGCTGAGAAGTTTCTTAAGACACTTTCGTGAATCCAGTTTACTGAGTAAATTAGCCAATCACAGCTACGCCCCCCACCCCCCACCCCGCTACACCTCTGGTTATATTCTCAAAAGTTTGAATTATCTTGGGATTTCACACCATTATTATTATTATTATTATTATTATTATTATTATTATTAACAGCTTATTTTCTCACAAATTTGACTTATTACCTTAAGTCACCTGTGTCACAAAAATTACTTAGAAGGTATTACAGCTCACATATATCTGAACCTTTAACTTCATATTGTCCATCCTGCTCCCTGCAGTCAGCTGTCTGTGGTCTGCTTATGGTAATGAAGACTAGTTCCTGTGACCAACAGCTCCACGGCTATAGAATCATCTCCCTGATAACATCCGAGCAGCAGACAGTCGGAACTCTTTAAAACCTCTTCTTAAGCCTCACCTCTTTAGGGATACATACTGCTGCTCACCTGCCTTTCCCTCGCGTTTCATGTTAATCCCTATATATTACTGTATTTCTTGTTATATGCCCTTTTTCTTGTTTCTGATTTCATATCCTACTGTATTTTATTTCACTTCCCTTTAATATTATGTGCCTTTATTTGTGTGTTTATTTTAACATATAGTAATTTCCTTTGTTTGTAGCTAATTGATTCAAGGTTTCTGAGAAAGCCCTATATAAATAAAATTTGTTGATTTGTTGTTAATATCCTTGGGGACTCTTATTCTGTATATCTGCACATTGTTGGTGTCACCAAAATGAAGACTTGGAAGATAGCCGCAGGGCTTGGGATGCCTTTGGGATGGTTCCATGCTGTTTCTAACATGCTCTTGGAATGTTTTAGTAGTTGGCCACTAGGGGGCGATGCCAAAGTAAACCTGGCTGAACTGTAGCTACATTCTGTTGACAATAAACATCCTGCGGGTTTTTATTTTACTACCAGACATTACAAAAATGTACTAATTATTTTGCAAAACTCCCCAGTCAGGACAACATAAACTGCATATTTACTAGCCACTACATTAGCTTGTTTCATTTCTCCTTTTGTATGCTAGTTGTAAACTGTAAATGCTTTATAATTATGCAGTTATTTCTATAATTATGCACTTATTATAGCATGTTTTGGTGGTTGGCCACTAAAAAAAAAGGGAAGGCTGAACACCTGTAGCTACGTTTATTTCCAAAGGATTTTTGCTAAAAATGTTGTAACATTTCAAAAATTTTGGCAATGTAGGCAACCGAAACCGAAAATGTCGGCTATGTTTACGAACGTCAACAAAGCTTTCTCCACACAAGCATTCTGGACTTTAGTGGAAAACACTGTTTACTGATAAAAAACACTGTTTACTGATAAATAAACACTGTTTACTGATAAAAAACACTGTTTACTGATAAATAAACACTGTTTACTGATAAAAAACACTGTTTACTGATTAAAAAAACACTGTTTACTGATAAAAACACTGTTTACTAATTAAAAAAAACTGTTTACTGATAAAAAACACTGTTTACTGATAAAAAAAACACTGTTTACTGATTAAAAAAACACTGTTTACTGATAAAAAAACTGTTTACTAATAAAAAACACTGTTTACTGATAAAAACACTGTTTACTAATTAAAAAAAACTGTTTACTGATAAAAAAAACAGTTTACTGATAAATAAACACTTTACTGATAAAAAAACACTGTTTACTGATTAAAAAAACACTGTTTACTGATAAAAAAACACTTTTTACTAATAGAAAACACTTTACTGATAAAAAAACTGTTTACTAATAAAAAAACACCGTTTACTGATAGAAAAAAACACTTTTTACTAATAAAAAACACTGTTTACTGATAAAAAAACAGTTTACTGATAAACACTGTTTACTAATTAAAAAAACACTGTTTACTGATGAAAAAACACTGTTTACTAATAAAAAAAACACTGTTTACTAATAAAAAAACACTGTTTACTGATAAACACTTTACTGATAAAAAAAAACTGTTTACTGATAAACTGTTTACTAATAAAAAACACTGTTTACTAATAAAAAAACACTGTTTACTGATAAAAAAACACTGTTTACTAATAAAAAAACACTGTTTACTAATTAAAAAACACTGTTTACTGATGAAAAAACACTGTTTACTAATAAAAAACACTGTTTACTGATAAATAAACACTGTTTACTAATAAAAAAAACCTCTTTACTGATGACAAAACACTGTTTACTGATGAAAAAACACTGTTTACTGATAAAAAACACTGTTTACTGATAAACACTGTTTACTGATAAAAAACACTGTTTACTGATAAACACTGTTTACTAATTAAAAAACACTGTTTACTGATGAAAAAACACTGTTTACTAATAAAAAACACTGTTTACTGATAAATAAACACTGTTTACTAATAAAAAAAACCTCTTTACTGATGACAAAACACTGTTTACTAATGAAAAAAACACTGTTTACTGATAAAAAACACTGTTTACTGATAAACACTGTTTACTGATAAACACTGTTTACTGATAAAAAACATTGTTTACTGATAAAAAACACTGTTTACTGATAAACACTGTTTACTGATAAAAAACACTGTTTACTGATAAACACTGTTTACTGATAAACACTGTTTACTGATAAACACTGTTTACTGATCGCTGAAATGTTGTGAAAATCTACACTTGAAACTTTATTTTGAGGAAAAAAAACTCATTTCCAAATCTATATTTAGGGCTACGTGACGTGAACCGCGACACAGAGACGGAAGCTTTTTGAACCAATAAACCAACCATACAACCATGTATGCAACAACATTTTTTGCAGGAAATGACGTCATAGGACAGAGTTAGCCAAAGAGGCTAATTTATGTCTGTTGTTGCTGGACAGATGTTAATTTTTCACTTTAATATTATTATCATTGGTAAGATCAAGCATTTTTCTACTGTTGTGTTCCTCACAGCACATCAACAAAATTCAGGCTTCATGGTGGCTGGTACTGTTTTTAGCTTTGTTAAAGTACCTTGGTTCATGTTTATAGATAACAGTGAGTCATACAGTGTAAGAAAACACATAATAATGTCTATTAAAGATTATTGAACAACTCCTCATGCTTTGAGGCAAGATTATGATGATTTAGGGATGTAGTTAGCATCATGCTAATCAGCATAGATAAATGAATACAATAATAGAATATGCACAACTGTGCAAAATCTGCATCGCAAACGTTCACATAGGCTCTGGAAAATAGACTAGAAATACACAAAAGTGAGTTTAATTACAAATTACATGTTTACTAATTTCTTTTTCAGGCTTCTTCTTTTTTAAAGTAATTATTTGAAAAATATATTTATTTTTTTGTGATAAAATACCAAAAAAGAGTGTAATAAAACCATCACAGCTTTTGTTGAGCTTTAAATCGTGGGTGTGGTACACAGATCTACCTAAAGGTGGCGACAGAAGCACAAAAGTTCTCTAAGACTTCACCTGAACATGCAGAATAACCATGTGGCGAAATTACTTGTTTTAAGTACTCCTAGATTTTCTTGCCTATAAAGTTATGAAGCCTTATTTAACTTTTTTACCTCGTCATCAGAGCATCAGAGAGGGATTATCAGCATTTATAACCGTGTAACAGTCATAAGTACATCACACAATAACATTCTTTTGACAATAAACATTATGTGGGTTTTTATTTTACTACCAAAAACTCTCCAGGCAGAACAACATAAACTGAACCTTTACTGGTTACTAGATTAGCTGGTTTAATTTTTCCTTTTACATGCAAGTTGTAACTGTAGATACTTTATAATTATACAGTTATTTGTACGTATTTCTTTAATTATACAGTTATTATTTCTGAGAGCAGACGTCTCTGTTGGCTTAAGCATCAGAGCGACCCTTTTTTTTCTGCTTGGAGTTTTTCAGAGCTCGCTCCACCTCCTCCATCACAGGCAGTGGACCCTCGTACTTGTTAGTTTCAATGGCCTTCAGCTTCTCCTGATAGTCTTTCGGCAGTCCGTTCTGCTCCGCCCCCAACACTATCACCTACGGCGACAGGAGGAAACAAATACTCAAACACTTCTCTCCCAAAATCAGTCCGGATATACTTTCCTGCACAGTTCCTCCTTTTTAGAAGTCTAGCAATAGTAAAAATGTTAAAACAATTTTTTTTTGTTTGAACCCTTCACCCCAAATGTAGTCGAGAGTCATGTAGCTATCAAGTAGTAGGAGCTGATGCCTCGACCAATTAGCATTACGATTGTGACAATTACTAATGTAGAAAATAGCATTAATAACAACATTAATCACTTGGCTTCTCAATGAATTAGCAATGATTAGCTAGCAATTATTTTCAGAGTATTCTGATTATCAATCAAATTGCAGGCTGAATTGCTTTTGTGTGAATCACCGAAAGAGAGGAAACCCACACCAGCAGGATCTCATGAATGCATGCATGTTTGTAGTCATGGATCATACTAAACACAGTCTAGACTGACTAGCATAGCAGAGAGCTAATGGGCTAACAAGCTTCTCCAGGTTAGCCTTTAAGTTCACTGTGAAACTGCAAAGTAAATGTTATTTTAATACGGTACAAACCTCTGTTTTTTGAGCGACAGATTTCATAAGTAGTATTAAACCCTTTGTGGGATGTGGGTGTATGCCACCGCTAACATTACTAACAGAGATTAGTGTTATTATAGGGGAAGTATTTTTTTTTTTTTGGTTTGTTTGGTTTATTTTTGTAAATTTACACTCATTCCAAATTTGTGGCCTGAAACACATTCCTAAAATGTTGGGACAGGAGCATGTTTACCACTGTGTTGCATCACCTGTCCTTTTAGCAGCACCAACCAATCCAGTTTTGAAAGCAGATTTTTTATTTTTTGCCATTCTTCAGTTTTACAAGTCTTCAGCTGTGATACAGGATCTCTGTTGTTATATTTTGCACTTCATAATGCACCACATGTTTTTAGTAGAAGACAGACAGGTCAGTCCAGCACCTGCAATCTCTGATTACTCAGCCATGCTGCTGTAAAACCTGCAGAATGTTTCTCGGTGCATCATGCTGAAATAACCATGGACATGCCTAAAAAAGACAAAGTCTAAAAGGCAGCATATGTTGCTCCAGAATGTGCTCAGTGTTAAAGGTGCTTTCATAGATGTGTAGATTATCTACTAAGACCCCCCCCCCACACACACACACACACACACACGTCATGACAGATGCTGGATTTCGAACTTTATGCTGGTAACAGTCTGGATGGTCCTTCACTTCTTTGGTCCGGAGAACATGATGTCCATTATTTCCATTAACAATCTGAAAGGTTGACTCGTCAGACCACAACACGTTTCCACTGAGCATCAGTCCATTCCAGATGAGCTTGAACCCAGAGAAGTCGGCGGCGTTTCTGGTTTCAGATACGCGACTTCCACTGTGCATAGTACAGTCTAAACCTGAATTTGTGGATGCAGTGATGGACGGTGTTTATTTTCAAAGTATTTCCGAGGCTACATGGTGATATCCATTACAGAAACATACCATTTTTAATGGCAGTGCTGTCTGAGGGGTTGAAGGTCATTCAGTTGTGGTTTTCGGCATTTTCCTTTATGCACAGAGATTTGTGACTTGGTTTCCCAAGTCTTTTAATGATGTAATACACATAGTGGATGAAATACCTAAAATCCTTGCAAACACTTGGTGAAGAAAATTGTTTTTGATTGGAACATTGATTATTTACCTACGCATTTCAATCAGTCAACCTTTATTTAAACTTGAAGTACATTGAGGGAGACCCTCATTTACAATGTAGCCAAATCAATGCAGAGATCAGGGATTGAGAGGTTGGATAGTAAAAAAAAAACATTGCAAGTGCTAAAAAGTAATAGTAATCATAGAGAAAACATTTTTTTGGAAATTGTAGAGCAAAATTTTCTTGGCGACCCATCCTCACTCATAAAGGACTGTCTCCTTTTATACCCAAGCATGATTACATCACATGTTTAAGAAGTGTCTAGTCTTAAATTGCTCCTGCAACAACTTTATGGAATGTGTTGATTGTATGTTTACAAAAAGTTGACAAGGCAAAACGTTACACGTCTTGTCTTTGTTCTGCTCCTGTTTAAATATGTTTAAAAATGTGGATTCACAGACCACTGCTTTCTGTTTTTATTAGCATTTCACACGCTGTCCCAACCACTGAGGTTCATATATTATCAAATAAATTCTATTTTAGAAACGTTAAAAGGTGGAGCTAGGTAATATGACAATACTTACTGTGATAAATGACTTCACAATGTGTCAATATGCTTCTCTGAGAATATCGTAGAAATAAGTGCAGCAGTGCGTGAAACATTGAATACAAATAATTGAATTCATAGTTTTTGATAATATTTATAGCATTTTGGCTTAGTTTTCTTACACTGTTCTAACTTATCAGTTATTAAACAGTTAAGTCCGTCATTACTGTTACATCATCAGAGTCAAAATAATCAATATCACAAATATCAGGCCTGATTAGCCTGGACAAAAGTGTGTAGCATCAGTTATCCTGCAGCCTGGATTGTGTCTTTACTGCAGTCCTTATAGATAACAGTGAGTCATTCAGAGTTAGAAACCACATAATCAGGTGTGTTAGAGATCTGAACATCTTTATATGCTTTGAGGAAAGTATGTAGTAATTCGGCCATGCAGTTAGCACCATGCTAATTAATCAACATTCGCTTCCATTTAAGCTTCTACTTGCTACATTAGCCTCGTAGCTTCAGTGCTAAAACTACAGAAGCAAACTCCAGACACTGAACATGTCTGGGCTGAATATTATTCAAACTCTTCCTTTAACCTGAAGTCTGTTAGCGGATCCAACTGGAAGAGCTGAAACGTACCAACATGTGCATTCAGCCACACACAGCGGAACAATGCGCTCCACTGCATGGCATGCGTCGCACATGATACACACACAAAGCTTCACGCACAAAGCCCCACACACACACACACACACGCTCACACACACACACATGGATGTGTTTTTTAGAGTTATTTGGCCCTTTAACATGAAATAAAAGGCCACGCAAGAGGAATCCTACAGAAACGATGGTGTCCTCCGCTTGATTTAGCGCAATTGGGCCGAGTATGTACAGTTTGCTGGACAGGATCACTTCCTCTGCTGTGAACACTGCGGGAAATGAGAGGGAAATGTGTATTCCAGATGCTTCACTTTAATGCAGAACCGGTTTTGGAGGGCAGCTTCACTGAATGAGCCCAACAGTCACTGACCGAGTTACTGCTCGCAGCCCATTGTGCTTCCCACACAAAGGGAGCAGCGGCAAACGCCAGAAAAAACACCACAACATTGTTCCTGGGCAGCAGTGGGAGTGAGGGAGCTCGCAACGTCACCGAACGGAGAGCTCTTTACTCGATGACATCATGTGTGAAATTGTTCTTAAAAAGCTAGACTGTCTGGACCAACAGACTGGAATCGATGTTTTCAACATGAATCAAATAAGGAGCAGAAAATGTATGAACTGATTATAATATCATGCGTAAGTGAATATAACACCCTACAACTTCACTGATTATAATTAGAAGTGGGGAAAAAATAAATAAGTTTATCATTTATAAGGCTGTACAACACCTGCACAAGCTTTTAAGGCCGTAAATGCTAAAGTATATAGACATCTATAAAGGCTTATTCCAAAAACTGTCACTAAAGCAGCCAGTATGACACCTGAGTTGCTTTGATTAGCCATTATAAACGTTTATGTAAGATTATGTCAGTTGTCATGAAAGGCTTATGTCATACAGCCTTATGAATGTTAACCCAGAAGTGTTAGCATTCATAAGGCTGTAGATTTTTGGCAATAATGTAGCTGTAGATGATCTATATTACCTTAAAATCTACATTTTAAGATATTATTCAATACAATTAACAATAATTGTCAATTAAACATCTGCTACCGATATTATAGTGGTAGCGTTTAGCTGATGAAAACACAGTTTTGAAGGAGAAACATCTGAAATGCTAACATTTACCCAACGTTAAAAAGGACTCTACCTTCAGGTACTGCGGCGACGGCGGCGCGTAGACGCAGCTGTTCATGATGTACGTCCGACAGCTTAACTCCTGACCACGGGTCCACACGGACACTTCCACTGGGCTGTAGGCTCCCAACCTCACGTTCTCCTGCCTGAACACACAAATACATACAGAAACCCGTTCTATACATATATACATATACATGAAGTATATGTGGACATATATATGTGCTTTACTTGAACGCTGCTACATAACATTGACATAAACATGCTCTAAACATAGCAGACGTTACATGCTGTCATAACAGATTATGTCCAGTAATATAACAGTATTGTGTCACGTGCTAATTTTGGTGACCTCCAGTTAGCCATCAAACATATGTCATGGCAGCTACTGATAACAGTGGCATGATGCTGTTATATCATTGGATGTGATCTGCCATGACATGTTTATGGCACGGTTATGTCAATGTTATGCAGCAGAGTTCAAGTAAAGTGTGACCATATATTCCATTATCGTTCAACTAGCGCTAAAAGCAGTTTGCTAACTCACTACAGCAAATTTAACAGATTTTATAGCTACTTGTCTCATTTGGCTGAGTCATAATCACACAGTTTTTATTTCATTTCATTGTGTAAATTTAATGTAATGATAATGAAGAGCATTCCATCCTGCAGCATTCTGCACATCCAGTGGTGCAGAGTTTTCAAATAATGGTCAACTGTGTCTCCAGAGATATTTTCCCATCACTTCAGACTGACTTTTGTTTTAATTGAAAAAAAAAAGCAATCAAACAGTACAAACAGATGAAGGAATGTAAATACAACAGTGTGCACATACAGATCCATAAGGAAAAAAGTATATGTATCAAATAAATGACCAAACATATTTTTGTTTTTGTTTCAGTGTCTGAAATACAGTCGTGTGCAAAAGTTTGGACGTCAAATTTCACATTTTCTTGATTTTGTGTAAAATAAGTGTAAATAAGTGAACACATCCTCTACACAGACTGCACATTTTAATACACAGTTGCTGTTTATATACTGAATTTAACGTCCCGGGGAAGACAATAAGACATAAAACATGGCCTGTATAAAAGTTATGGCACATTTGATATTTTATTTTTGTTTTATTTTGCTTTTATGTTTTCCAAACTGTTAAACTTAGCAATCAAATAGAAATTAGGCTCCAAAATTAGCAGACAAATGCTTCCTGTAGAGAAAGTGTTACTATATTCTTAGAAAATGATTATTATTATCACATGTAATTTGACCTTATAATGTTTGCCATATGAGTAAATATGCTATGGAGAAGATATTATTATTTATATAACTGTAAATTTGCGCTTGAACAGGTTTAATTGCTTATTATTTTCATTTGATATAATGTTCCATCTTTTGAAAGGCAACAAAACACCTGAGAATTAACATTATAAATGTATTAACCATCTGTGTAAGATCATAGATCAGTCATACAGACATGATTTATCTTTCCATAATAAACTGCACTCCTCCTCAGTCACGCTGCTTCCACTCTGTGTGTAGTGATGATGTGAATGAGCTGAATTGGTCTCTCAATGAGTTCGAGGGTTCGTACCTGTCCAGACTCTCCAGGTCGGCCACGTTCATCTTCCACACCACCCCCCACACCTCGTCCCCTGGGCTGTGCTCGATAGTGGCCACGCCGCCGTGCCAGCGGTCACTCGCCAAACCCTTATGGTTCCCAAACACCAGCTTATAGTCCTGAAGAGGACAAAGACATTGCAGGACATTAAAGGAGGTGGTATATTACAGCTGTTCAAGAGCTGTACACAAAATAAACATATTAGAAAGTGAATAATCGCCATCCAAAACAAAAATGTACCAATAAAACCAGTAGAATGGTATTATTTTCACGTAGAAAATCAATTAAACTTGTAATATGACCTTGTAATGTTTGCCATATGAGTAAATATGCTAAGGAGGAGATTTATACATATAACTGTACACTTGCGTTTCAGGAACTTTTAATGTAAATTCATGCAAAAAGGTGTTTTTCTTAGTCAGTTTGTAGCATTTCTATCAGTCCATTCAGCATGAAATTTAATAAAGAACAGCTGCTGTGTTCAAATCTTAAGGCGGGGGGGGGGGGGGTGGGGGGTTGGACAGCAAAAAACCAATGTAGGTCATTTTTTGTGTGTATTTTTTACAGAATGTGAATGTGCCAGCTGGTGTCTACATTGTGTTAAAATTTCATGATGAAGGGAGCAAAAGTAATGGTCCAAACTGACTGAAAGAAATCTGGTTCCTTTAACTGCCATTCAAAGTTAAGAACGTTTTTCCTTGTCCTGTAAAAACACTTCGGAGAGAACAGCCTTCCTTTCCATTCTGTTCCACCTCCTATATAAGAAACATCACATATTTTATTATATTCTTTGGAATAAACTGTCATTAATGCTCTCCCAGAAGAGCCAGTCTGCTGTAGAAATGAAACGCATTGTTATATGTTGATAGTATATTATAAAATCCATATATACACACAATATGTTCTATTATATGTTCAATATATTACTGTTTTACATGGGGTGGTGCTGTAACAGTCATGTAACAAGTCTTAGAGGTGATGTCTCTAACAGTGAAGGCCGTACCTGAAGCCTGGCCACACAGTGAACTCGGGCTGAGGGGTTTTTCAGCTGTAGCCGCTCCTTAAGCAGGTTGCTCCCGTAGGCGAAGTAGAGGAAGGTGGCCTGGTTGTCCATGGCATCCAAAGCGTCTGTGGGGAGAGGGAGAAGGGGCAGGGTTTGGAAAAGGAGGGCGAGAGTACAGCAGAGCCGCAGTCAGAAGGGCATAGAGAGCGCGCTCAGGAGACAGATACACGAGCACTGGAGTGAGTGACGGAGGGCAAAAACCTCCCCCTCTCTCTTTTATACAGCAGCTGACCATCACTCCATTCTCATGCTAATCCAGCTCACACGCTACCTGCTCACACTCATCCAAACAACACACGTTCAACTGACCGCTGGGGCTAGATCTCAATGGCGACTCCATCTAGTGGCCACAAGAGGGCACTGCACACTACAGTGTCTACTAAAGCACTTACTGGCCACTATAGATAGATAGATAGATAGATAGATAGATGGCTCCTGCGCTGTGATTGGTCAGTACTGTCCTGGCTCCTGTGCTGGGATTGTCAAGTCAAGTCAAAGTTTATTTATATAGCACTTTTTACAACAGGTGTTGTCACAAAGCAGCTTTACAGAAAAAAAGTACTGTCCTGTCTCCTGTGCTATGATTGGTCAGTAGTGTCCTGCCTCCTGTGCTGTGATTGGTCAGTGCTGTCCTGCCTCCTGCGTTGTGATTAGCTATTATTGTCCTGCCACCTGTGCTATGATTGGTCAGTATTGTCCTGCCTCCTGTGCTGTGATTGGTCAGTGCTGTCCTACCTCCTGTCAGTAATGTCCTGCCTCCTGCACTGTGATTCGTTATTAGTGCTCTGCCTTCTGCACTGTGATTTGTTATTAGTGCTCTGCCTCCTGCGCTGTGATTGGTTAATAGTTCATATTCACAAGCAGTTTCACTGAGCTCATTTGATCATTTGCATGTTTTTTCAGAGACTCTTTAATATTAAACATTTTATACTGTTTAACATTTTTCTCTCTGAAACTGCTACACAGCTTTGTACCATTGCAACAGCTGTGTGTTTCTCAAATTACACACATTCCAGATTGTCCACTGGGGGACAGTAAAAAGCTGCTTATTTGTTTTTTTCACAAAATATTTTGCTGTTTAGACTTTTAAAATGTAATTGTAAGCAGGAATCATGTGGACTCAAAGGCAACACTGGCATAAAAGCACAACTTTAAGCAGCACTTGGCTCTTGACTCCACAGATAAACAATAAAAGGCAGCAATAGATTTGTGAAACACAAACTTTGGTTTGCAACCAAATACCACAAAATCCACCAAAGAAAGAAAACAAACAAACAGCAACATCCTCTAGCCCTGCTCAGCTGAAAGGAGCATGACCTCTATCAAACTGCATCAGCGTGATATGAAGGAAAAAAGAGATTGAGAGTCATAATCTGCCCTTATTTACAGTTTAATTATCCACACGATTATTCAGTGATCTGTGTTGTGTCTGTTCTGGTCACTCACCCAGCACGGACAGGAGGACGAGTCCGGTAAACAGCAGCATGCTGCTAAAGCTGCAGCGTTCACCCCGAGCCACCATCGCGCTCCTCAGCTCGTCTGCACATAAAGAGGAGCAGACTGGGATCCTCCTGTTTTGTTTCTGGTTTGATGCTGGAGGGAAAAACTCCCCCACAGCTAATTTAGTGTTTCAGGTTTCAGGTCATGTGATTTAGTCTCCACACAGAGTGAGACTTTTTAGGGAAAAGTCTTGAGCAGCTCAGTTTGATTTGGTCAACATTATCATCAGCTTCAGTTAGGCGTGACAGATCAAATCCACCAGCATAATGTGATTAAATAAGGATCACTCAGCTCACTTCATCACCTCATTTACACAGGCTTATATAGATAGAAAAGTGATTTTAAAGGTGAAGTGGCTCTTTCCACCTTAAAAAAATGTTCCTCCCATCAAAATTGCAATTCTGGTGAAAAGTGAAATCACGCAAAAATGTAATTCCTGCTCAGAAAAGTTGCCTTTTGACATGTTTGGATTCTTTTTTTTTTTACCTTCAGTAAAAATGTGAATTAATAATAATAATTATTTGAATTCAAGTAAACACTAAACACTTATTTCAAACTTCACATTTCAAAGTTTACAAATAAAAAAAAAAATCTTGATTGAAATTTGAATTTCTAAGTGAAATTTGAAATTACATGTTCAAATGTAGTTCTTACATGTAAGTACACTTTTATTTAAGAACTACATTGTTACAGGTAATATTCGAATTTTCAATCAATTTGAACACATGAATTAGAATTTCAATAATTAGAATTTCAATTTCAATTAGAAATGTCAATTTATCTTCTATTGAAAAAGTGTTCAATTATTCACCCCACTAAAAAATGATTCACATTAAAACAATAAATTCTTTATTAATACACTGTAAAAATGATTCAGTGTTTAACTTTAAAGGTTAAGTAACCTGGTTGCCTTAAAATTGAGTTTATTGAACTTCAATGTAAAGAATGTGAAACACATTATTGTTTTGATAATTTACTATTAGAAGTTCAATGAACTCAAAATTTTAAGGCAACCAGGTTACGCAACCTTTGAAGATAAACGCTGAATCATTTTTACAGTGTAGTAGTAAAAATGTAAAAGAGTAATGAATTTTAAAGCCATTAGAAAACTCAAATTATAATATCATCATAGCAACACCAGTTACAATAACCTGACTCCAGTAGCAGCTGTTCTTCCTGTTAAAATGACCTGAAGAACGTTCTGGGTTCTGCTGTGATTACGGAATACTTACATTCAAAAACTAGATAAACTTAACATGTTTACTTGTCCTAACTAAATTTCTGAAATTTCTATAATATAAGTGGAAATGAAAAGTCTAAACAAGGTTTGCATGAGAACCAGTAATACAGAAGGTACAAGCATGGTTTGTAGCCGAAACAGTGGACCACAGTTAACTGGACCTGTGTCAGGTCAGTAAGTTCGGTGAAATGAAGCAGAAGTTAATTGCTCTTTGTTGATAGTGGATGTTTTCGGGCAGCTGGGGTCTCATTCCACTGTACATGCGGTGCCTGCACCCCCTCTTCCCCCTCCCACCCGTAGCAGCAGGATGTCAAAACCTGTTAAAACGTTTACTGTAACAGATTCAGTCGTTCTGGCCTGCGGAGTGGTGGACCAGTCCAAACTGCTTTGAGCGAGTCTGAATAGAACTGTCATAGACGCTGACCTCAAATTGAGAGCCTTTGCACTGAATTCCACATCTGTCCAAAAAAAAAGGAAAAAAAAAAAGAATAACATCAGTCTTTGGTCCAGCCGCTCAGCAGGGGGCAGAACAGCCAGACTGCAACAATTAGGAGAGTGCAGAGGCTTCAGATAAACACCTCTGGAGGATCAGTGGGACACTTCTGGAACAAACGGCTGCATTTGGGTGTTCTGTCAGCGGGACGCTCTCAAAAACAAGATCTGACGCAATTATACAGCTGCGTTTCTCACTGCGACGCCCCCCACCAACCTGCACTGCTGCTGACCAGTCCAGTCTGACCTGGTTCTCCTGAGACAGCTGGGTTACAGTGAGGGTTCAGATTAGGATCGGGGGTCCAGGTGGAATGTTTGACCTAGTCCTCCACTGACAGTATCACAACATCATCACTCAGAGTGAAGGCTGTGATTAATCCAGGTTTAGATACCCTGAATTGTGATTAATCTGGGTTTAGATACTAAGAATTGTACTTAATCCAGGTTTGGATACTCAGGCTATGACTAATCCAGATTTAGATACTCAGATTGTGATTAATCCAGGTTCATATACTAAGAATTGTGATTAATCCAGGTTTACATAGGCTGTGATTATTCCAGGTTTAAATGCTCATGTTGTGATTAATCCAGGTTTAGATACTCTGAATTGTGATTAATCCAGGTTTAGATACTCTGAATTGTGATTAATCCAGGTTTAGATACTCAGGTTGTGATTAATCCAGGTTTAGATACTCAGACTGTGATTAATCCAGGTTTAGATACTCAGACTGTGATTAATCCAGGTTTAGATACTCTGAATTGTGATTAATCCAGGTTTAGATACTCAGGTTGTGATTAATCCAGGTTTAGATACTCAGACTGTGATTAATCCAGGTTTAGATACTCCGACTGTAATTAATCCAGGTTTGGAGACCTGTAAACTCCGAACTGAATGCCAAGCTGATATTTCAGAAGTGCGTCTGAAATCAGTGTTAAAATCAAACAAACATGACTCATAAAATATAAATATAAAAACTAATTTGTGACTAAAGTAGCACACACAGAATCATTTCTCAGTTTGTTACAGGTACTGAGCCTCCACTATTTCTCCACAACAAATGTCTGCTTTGACAGTTTCAAAGGTCACAGGTCAGAGGAGAAAAGAGGAGAAGAGTTCAGTGGCGTCAGTGAATAAAGGGTTTAATCATAAGATTTCCTGTTTCCCTTCTACACACCTCCCCATGTTTATGGAGCTGCTGCTATCAGTGTTATTGGTCCAATTCATACACAGTACAGAACTGGAGGGCACTGATACACTATCACACACACTTATACACACATATATACACACACACATATATAGACATGTAAACACACACACACACACATATACAAGTACACAAAGATATACACATATAGACACATACATATACACACATATAGACACACACATGTACACACACATACCCACATATACACATATATACACTTATATACACACACATATATAAGTACACACAAATATGTACACAGACAAAGATATACACATAGACACACATATACACATGAACACATACACATATATTGACACATATATAGACGTATGTAAATAATAGTGGATTTATTTCTTTATTGCTTGGTGAATTTGGTTTAATAGTTATTTATTTCGTTTATTAGTTAGTTAATTATTTACCTATTTATTCTGAAGTGGATTTATTTGGGCCTGGATTTATTTTTACTAGGGCCTGGTTATTTCTTATTATTTATGGCCTTTGCCTGATGATTTTTGGAGATTGCGGTGTGAGACAGATTTCCGTGACGATGGATAATAAAGCATTATCTTATCTTATCTATGGCAACGTCTGCAGAAATTGTGATCTGAGCTTCCTCGGGTACACATTCACCTGAATTGCGTAAATTCGGCCAATTAAAGCGGAGGCCCCGCCCCCTGTGCTGGAGCAGTATAATACTCTCAGGCTGGTAAACTCTAACTGCACTGAGAGTTAGCTGACTGACCCTTCTGCCTCGGACTTCTAAACACTGGCCAGGTTTTCAGCAGGATTTGTGTGGATTTGTCAGTTTATTGACCGGATCGTCCCAACAGGCTTCTGTTTCCTCCTGAACCTGCGCCTGAGTTAACCGGACACTAACATGGAGAAAGAGAGCAGACCATCGTGGGACAACCCCATGCAGTTTGTTCTGGCATGTGTTTCTTACGCTGTTGGACTTGGAAACGTCTGGCGTTTTCCGTATCTCTGTCAAATGCATGGAGGAGGTAAGACCAGCCTAAACACTCCAATACTGGAAGAGTAACTATGGGTCCAGAAGTCTGTAGACTCCAGTGTTTCTTCTGAAATGAAGTGTTAATAGTGAGTTTGTGCTGCAGTAACAGCCTCTACTCTTCTGGGAAGGGTTCTAGATGTTGAACATTGCTGTGAAGATTTGATTGAGCATTAGTGAGGTCAGGTACTGATGTTGGATGGTCAGTTCTGGGTCACTCCAACTCATCCCAAAGGTATTGGATGGAGCTCCATCACTCCAGAGAACACAGCTCCACTGCTCCACAGCCCAATGCTGGGGGCTTTATACCCCTCTAGCCCACGCTGGTCATTGGACATGGTGACCTTAGGCTCATGTACAGCTGCTCTAGAGACATTCTATTGGTCAGTGCTTTTCTATGGAGATTATACAAGCCACATGTCAGCAGGGTTACTAAAGGAGAATTCCAATATTTCAAATTTCCTACATAATTCAGAGTGTGAGATGTAATCAGAGAGATTCAGAGTGGTTTGGTGTGAAATGGTTCAGATGTCTTTACAGTGGTGGTGATAGGAACCAGGGGTCACCATGACTACAACACAGATATAGACATTTTATTTACTATCCAGAACCACCAGTGAACCTACACAAGTCTTCTGAGTTTATATGGAATGTTGATGATGGAAAATAGTGGAAAATCTGGAATAATCAGTTTTCTTTGGGGACTATTTTGCCTCACAGCTCCCTGCATGTATCCCTCCACCATGAATGGAGTTTAAGGCCAAAATCTTCTCAAAACTATCATAAAACAGTGTGTCAGACACTAATTAGAAGAGCTGCCTGCAAACTTTTGTTGATTGTGTGAATAAGTGAAAACAACCTCTGCATGTTTTAATACATAATTACTGATTGTTTACAGAATTTAACACAAAATAAAACAAAATATGGCAAATGGCACATTTAATGTTTTATTTTACATTTTCTCCAACATGTTAAAGTGTTAAAAAAGCAAATAAACAGAAAATGCCATATTAGAGTGTGTTCCCTGTAGACCAGACAATCCCAATCATGTTATTTTGTTTAAAAGAATGAGAAAGAATTAATACATCATTCATTTTATTCTGGAAAGAAATCGTTAACTACATATACAATTATTAACAACTGAGGATCCAGCACTCAGAAAAAGGACGCAAATCGGCCAAACGAGGACGAAGGAGCTTGAAAAGATCTTTAAATGCATGGATTTGTCTCTACAGATAAAGTTCAGAACTGTCCAGACTGTGGTTCTCTGTGGTTCTTTATGGATGTGATAACTGGACAGTAAACAAGCAAGACAGGAAAATATAGATGCTTTGAATGTTAGCGTTGGTGGAGACTTTTGAGAGAACCTCAGACGGCAAAGAGAACAAATGAATGGATCCTGAACAAATCAAGCCTCTCCCCTCACTCGAAGCCCAGAGAACCAAACTGAAGATCTTACTTTGGACACATTCTGAGAAGAACCAGCTCACTGGAAAACATAGTTATGCTCGGAAGAGTTGAAGATAAAAGAGGACCAACAGCTACAAGATAGATGGAGACGACCAGAGGAATCATGAACCAGCCATTCAGAGCCTGAAGATCCAAACAGAAGACAGATGTTGTGGAGAAACACCATCCATACTTTTACCAGGAGTCGGAAAAGACTTGCCAGCACTTAATAATAACTAATACAATTGAAACTGAACCTTTAAATTGCTAAATTGGTCAATATAAATATTGATACATAATAAACATAATATGTACCAGTAAAGTAAAAATACAAATATAGAAGAAAAGCCAACAAGAATGTCATCTAATATTTCTGATAATATCTCAATGACTGACACAAACAATAATAAGGTATATACAGTACTGTGCAAAAGTCAGAGACTTTATTTATTTCATCTACAATCAAAATGGCCATTAAGTACAAGTTATTAATTTTTCAGGAGATATTTGTGAGGAGATTAGATATAAGACAACCCACTTGCATGAAGTAAAAAAACAGAAGTTTCCAAAACTGGAGAAAAGCTCCAGAGAAAATGTGTCTCCTAGCAACCACCTGGAAGACCTGTTAGACCCCAAAACTGCCCCCATCAGATAAACAGCACTTAAAGCTTTCATCTCTGAGAGAGAGGAGAAAATCAAGCTGATCAGAAAACATCCACAGGTGTTTCTGTCCATCCTTCCACTGTGAGAAGACGACTCAGCGCTGTGGGTCTGAAAGGATGTGTAGCTGATCAAGAAGAACCTCACTGAGAAAAGGAGACGGACACATCAAACAAAGAAGCTGGACAATGGACTGACCACCCCAGAGTCCAGACCTCAACACCACTGAATGTGTTTGATTACTTTAGAAAATCATCAACCAGCTTCTGAGACTGAACTTTGGAGGTGTGTCTGCAGATTCTTTGAGGAACTGAAAGTGAGTCTCCTGAACAGAATGGAAGCTGGAATAAAGGGAGAGTGACTCACTGACTCACACAGCTGAGAGTAGATTTAGCTGTTGAGGCTTCTGGGAAATTTTCTGTTAAATGCATGTTTTCAGATTTCTCCTGGTGGCACACGGTCGAGAGGGTGATAATATAATAGATAACACTGGAAATTGCTAATACTCAATAATACTAGTAATAGAGTCGGATATGCTTTGCTATTTGCTGTTTGTTGCTGTTGTGTCTCTTCAAGAAGCAGTTTAGTGTAGCATGTGATGAACAGTAAAGCAGGACATGGAGGCCAAACTGTCTCCTGATGTTCCTCAGGTAACACAGTCACCTGTACACCTGTTATTAGGTGGACAGAACTATCCATGTTGGCATGGTTTGTTGTCCTGTTGTGGGATGAGGCTGCTGCCTTGGGTTTCTAATTGCTTAAAGCGATAATTTGGCAAAAATAGTGAAATCACCTCTTCCCATCCAGCCTTACAACACATGTAGCTGATCAGCCAAAACATGTTTGGTGTCTGAAGTTTGCTGATGTAGTTTTAGGGCTGAAGCTACGAGGCTAATGTAGCTAACAAGCAATGGAAGCTTATGTACATGGGTTAGCATGGTGCTAACTGCGCCCAGTATCTCTAATAATCTCGATTATTTGGTTTCTGACACTGTTTGACTCACAGTTATCTACAACCATGGACAAAAGTACAGCTAAAAAATAGAAGTACATCTGTTAAGTACCTGTGTTCGATTTTTGGGTGGCATAGATTTCCATTGCTTGTTAGCAACGTTAGCCTTGTAGCTTCAGGGCTAAAACTAAAGAAGCAAACTTCACACACCAGATAGGTCTTGGCTTTTTGACTACATTTGTTGTAAGTAAAGAAAAACATCATTTTAAAGGGGGAGAGGATGGGAAATATCTCGACTGCTTACTGTGCCGCCACTGTTCACTCTTTTTCACTCTTTTCCCTATTTTTAAACTGCAGTTTGTGCAGACGGTGGGTGAAAAACATTGTTCCAAGCCTCTTTCTTTAATAAGATTAGCAGTAAATGCGGACTCAGTCCCGTGCTGTAATCTGCTGTTTTTGTGAGAACACTAACACGTCGACCTTCCACTTTATTAACACCTACCATACAGGTGCAGTCTGTAGGTTTAGAGTTAGAGACTGTAGCTCATCTGTTTCTGCACATTTAAGCAGCCCCCCACCACAGGACCACCACTGACTAGATAGGATGTGGGTTGGGGCAGAAGCACCGGTGAACATTTTGAGACTTGTGTAGGTCTCTCATTTGCCTCAACGGAGCCTGTTACTACATTGAAATGTTCCAAAGGTTATATAATCTTACTCTTTATTTTGTTAAAGCTCCATAATTACAACTCAGGATGCAGCAAGCTGTGAGCAACACAACTGCATATCAATACACTGTATACAACTGGCTGAAAATGTAGATTTTGTTGATTTTTCAAAACCACTGCATCTTGGCTATATTTTGGCTATGAAAGCAAAACTCTATAATGACTATTTTACGATAGATACATTATTCAAAATGTCCACAGATATATTCATTTATTCAGACATAGCCATACAATTCTGATCCATTCATCCAGTACCTTTGGGATGAGTTGGAGTGATCCAGAACTAATCATCCAACATCAGTACCTGACCTCACTAATGCTCAATCAAATCCTCACAGCAATGTTCAACATCTAGTGTAAAGCCTTCCCAGAAGAATAGAGGCTGTTACTGCAGCACAAACTCACTGATGTTTACACTCATATAGATGGTTCCTTAAGGGTTCTTCAGTATAGGGAGTAGCTCTATTTAGAGTCATCCATATAGAACCATTTCATGTTTACATTCTTTGCATGGTGAAATGGTTCTTCAGATTGATGGAGAACGTGTTGTATATGCAGGGGTGGTGCCACATCTCTAAAAGTGGTAGGGCAAACATAGGAAAAAAAAACAAGCAATAATAATAATAATAATAATAGTAATTAATGTCATGCTGAATGTCTCTTTAAATGTATTCGTTAGTGTTTGTTTTGACCTGTGTTCCACTGGGTTCATCCTCAGACAGTTCACATCCCTGAAGAACCTCTGGCTGTATTCAAACCCAGTTCATTGTCAGGGAAGCAGTGCTGTGTTATGGTCTATGTGTATCACAGTCATAACAGTTGTAATAAACTTCAGTTGTTCCATGTGCTGTGAGCTCCGTGGAGGTCAGGGAAAGTGCTGAAGTCCTGAAGTCTGTGAAAGTGGTGGGTCGCCGCCCCTGTACTTCAAAAAGTGATGGGTCAAATTCCCACTCGCCCCTGTGGGTCCAGCCGCCCTGTGAATAAGCCAATGGTTCTATATAGAACCTTTTTAAAAATGGTTCTATACAGCATCAAAAGAGATTCTTCCATGGTTTCAAGCTTGACATCATAACAATAGCAGAACCCTTCTTGGTGCTATATAGAACCATATACAACACATTCTCCATCAATCTGAGGAACCATTTCACTATGCAAAATAAAAGTGTTTAAAAATACTAAGAACTATTTTCAGTGGTCATTTTATCATTAGCTCTGCAATTCATTTCGAGGCTAGACTTAATCCATGTCCTAGAAACTGGCCCTCAGTGTTTGTACTGCCCAGGAACAGTAGGAGGCTGTTTTTTGGGTCAGCGGCTGTGTCAGCCCTCCTCTCTCTCTCTCTCTCTCTTTTCTTTGGGGCGATTGAACTTGTGCGATGTTTTCACAGAATGTTTATGAGGTTGACTGGTCACCAAGTTCTTGCTCAATAATTCAGATGTGGCCAAGCAGAACAACTTTGACAGTCATTAAACCACTTCATTTAAACCAATTTGACCAGGCTCCGCCCACAAGCATGCCCTTTTATAGCTACTGTTGGACACGTTTTACAGAAGACTGGTAAAAATCCCATTTAACCTAATGAGAAACTGTAGAACAGACTCAGTTTATATGACAATACCTACATTTAAAGTCTAGGGTCACTGTATATTGTAGGTATTGTGATATAAACCGAGTCTGTTCTACAGTTTCTCATTAGGCTGAATGAATTACTGACTCTAAATGTAGGTATTGTGATATAAACCGAGTCTGTTCTACAGTTTCTCATTAGGCTGAATCAATAACTGACTCTAAATGTAGGTATTGTGATATAAACTGAGGCTGTTCTACAGTTTCTCATTAGGCTGAATGAATAACTGACTCTAAATGTAGGTATTGTGATATAAACTGAGTCTGTTCTACAGTTTCTCATAGGCTGAATGAATAACTGACTCTAAAGTAGGTATGTGATATAAACTGAGTCTGTCTACAGTTTCTCATTAGGCTGAATGAATAACTGACTCTAAATGTAGGTATTGTGATATAAACTGAGTCTGTTCTACAGTTTCTCATTAGGCTGAATGAATAACTGACTCTAAATGTAGGTATTGTGATAGATGATTTGTTTTTATTCTCCGGCCTGTAGGGGGCTTTATGATCCCATACCTCATCATGCTGTTTGTGGAGGGCATTCCTCTGTTCTACATGGAGCTGGCCATTGGGCAGAAGATGCGTCTGGGCAGCATCGGAGCCTGGAGCACCATCAGTCCCTACCTGGGCGGATTAGGTGTGTTTATTCATTCTAAAAGAGGACATTACGGCCTCGTCATATAAAGCTGAAAGATAATAAACGTTATTAGAACATAGAACATAATATCACATTATTATATTGCTACATATTGTTGCTATATATGACATATAATATATACACATCGCTGAATCATTAAGGTGACATAGTAAACTAAATATTGTATGTTGTGAAAATGCCTTCAGTATTGTGATGTTATATTTTTGCCTTATTCAGTATCTACTATGAATTATTCAGAATTAACTATGAATTATTCAGAATCAAACTATGAATTATTCAGAATCAACTATGAATTATTCAGTATCTACAATGAATTATTCAGTATCTACAATGAATTATTCAGAATCTTCCATTAATTATTCAAAGTATTCTATTAATTATTCAGTATCTACTACAAATTCAGTAACTGCTATTAATTATTATGTAATATCTACTGTTTATTATTCAGTGTTGCCTATGAATGTTTAAATAGAATTTAAGAGGTTAACATTAGAGTTTATGTTAAGGACTTACTCTTATATCTGATTCAGAAGTTAAAATCGTGTGACGGTGCAATGTGGAAATATTAAATGCCTTTTTATTATAAATATGAGCCCTTTTTATCCAGTTATTTCTCTCTCTGCAGGCATCGCCAGTGTTGTAACCTCACTGTATCTGTGTCTGTATTACAATGTGATCAATGCCTGGAGCTTCTGGTATCTTTTCCATTCATTTCAGGTTAATATTTCTGCATGACATAAATAATACACTGGAATATGCTGTCAATATTTTACAGAATGTTACTGTAATGAAATTTCAATATATCACATTTGTGTTTCTTAAACTTTGTTATTTTTCTCATGGAACAGCTGCCTCATGTGTTTTGCTTTCCTTATGAAAATTACACATCGTATTCTGTCAGTATGTTCCAGAATGTAAACAGATATTTTAATATATTTTCATTACACTTTTCATCTTTTGTCTATGGGTTTGTTTACAGGCTGTGTTGCCATGGTCAGACTGTCCTGTAAACAGTAACCAAACAGCCTATTTGGAGGAGTGTGAGGTGGCCACACCCACGCAATACTTCTTCTTCCGTGAAACGCTGAACATCTCGTCATCCATCGATGAAAACGGCGGCGTGCACATGGGCCAGGCGCTGTGTCTGCTGCTAGCCTGGCTAATCGTTTATCTCTTCATCGTTAAAGGGGTCAAATCCACAGGAAAGGTAAGGAAACCTTTTTAGTCAGGTCTAAATCATGATCACGGCGTTCAGTGGACACAGAATCATTAGCATTAGCATTAGCATCTAAACATTAAAGATGTTAAGGTTTGCATTCGTTAGGGCTCGAATGATAAATCGCTCCATATGATTAAGATTCCACAGATCCAATTCTGACAATAAAACACCAATAATGTTAAAAGTTAAATGTTAACCCTAAAACCATATTCAGGAATGTGATGCTATTTTGAACAACAACCCAAACATTCAGGCATATTTGAGAATTTTTACGTTGTGCGAGTTCATGTTTTATAACCAGGTCAATAACCTGCTTATTTATAAGTCTCTCTTTTTTTTTATTTAATAGACCTTGATGACTGAGTCACCTAGCAATACTCTAGCAAGCACCTGCAATACCATAGCAACCACCAAGCCATCCCCAGGCAACCACCTGAAACAGCTTAGCAACCCTCTAGCAATCTCCTAGCAACCACCTATAATACCATAGCAACCAACAAGCAATGTCATAGCAATATGCTATGCTAATATTGCTTAAGCTGCTTTAAACTGCACAATCACTCTGCATTTTCATCAGGGAAAGTACTCAACTCTAAACAACGCAATTTGACATCTGAAAAGCAAAGCATTGTTTAAAACTACTGGAGTTATTGGAGGTATATTGGCACAATTTTTAGCATTTTATAATTGATATTGGCAATTTTAAAGAGCTAAAACATCTGATGTTAAATATTTGTAATGCTACATATTTGTGATTAACTGATAATTCCAGTGACGTAGGTCTTTTGCCTTCAGTCACTATAGTTAAATTCATCTCAATCCAACTTTAATTCATTATTTAATCAATGACAAAGAAACCCCATAAGCTAGAAGGCAATACAAATCTAATATTTTAGTGTTTCCAGTTCCAGTAGATCTAATTCCCATCCAAACTAAAACAACAGACTTAATATTTTTGATCATCTATTGACACAAAACAGTCTGGAGTAATTCCTCAGGAAGTGGTTCTAGAAGAACAGTGTGTTTCATTAGTAAAACACCTCTAAGTAGAAATAAACTGGGGGACGTTGTCATTTTCGTATTGACACTAAGTAACGACTCTCTGATCCTCAGGTTGTGTATTTTACCGCCACGTTTCCCTACGTGGTCCTCATCATCTACCTGATCCGTGGAGTGACCTTGCATGGAGCTCTGAATGGAGTGAAGTACATGTTCACACCAAAGGTAGGACCCAAACGCCACCCACCCTGCATTTCTGAAAGGTTTGAAAGGTTTTGGAAATATTATATTACGATGTCCAACACTAGCGTTTCTTCTTCTTCCGTTTTCCTCTTATTTTTCTTCTCAGTTTTTGTTCATGAACTCATCCTGCAGTTTTCAAGATATTGACACTAAACCAAGTCCAGAATATTCAGTCTGATTTTCCCCAAATAGAAATGAATGGCAGAATGTTCAACATCCTGAAACTGAATTATTCTTTTTTTATATAAACATCTTATTACACCACAGCCATTGAACAACAAGTGGCCAGAAGTTTGTGCACCCCTCTTATATCAGCATGATGGAAGTACACTAGCAACACTCCAACAACCACCTGGGATACTCTAGCAACCACTTAGCAACAGCAACATCCTGGAATGTCATAGCAATCACCTAGCAACTCCCAAGCAACCATCAGAGATACCCAACAATACCCTAGCAACCATCTAGTTACCACCTGGAGCACCATAGCAACCACCTAGCAGCCATTGAGCAACCATGTGAGACACCACAGCAACCAGCTAACAACACCTTAGAAATCACCTTCAATACCACCGCAACCACAGAGCAACACCCTAGCAATCACCTGGAATACCACTGCAACCATCTAAGAATACTCTAGCAAGCACCTGGAACACCTGTCAGCCTCCTAGTCAACAGGCTTTCTGTTCTTTTCTAATTTGAGGGAAATGTGTTGGAGTTACTGTCTGTAATCGATTGTTCGCTACAGATGCAGCAGGTAGAGATTAGCTTTGAAAACACTGTAGTTCTTCTAAGCGTCTGTTTATTTGCTGGCGTCTCTGTAGATGGAGCAGCTGGCGAACCCTCAGACGTGGATCAACGCTGCCACTCAGATCTTCTTCTCTCTGGGTCTGGGCTTCGGCTCCCTCATCGCCTTCGCCAGCTACAACCATCACAACAACAACTTCGAGAATCAGGCCATCGTGGTGTCTCTCATCAACAGCGGCACTTCCATTTTCGCCAGCATCGTCACGTTCTCCATCTACGGCTTCAAGGCCACGTTCAACTACGAGAGCTGTTTGGAGAGGTACGAGAATCAGTAGAGGCTGACGATGTTCTCCCAAAATTAGGGAGTTTGAACTGATGACAACAGTTACTACTAATTCAGACACTGCAATGTTATTAAACTGATAGAGAACAAAAAACATCAAGAAGTTAAGCAGAACAGCCAATAGAATAGCTCAGTTTTGACCTTTACTGAGTAGAATAACCATTTAAACCCACAAAAAAACAAACAATCACACCAAACATTCAGATTAGGTTTAGATGAGTAGAAAACCAAACATCACATCCAGAAAGACGTCCATAACTTTCTCAGAGAGACTTCAGTTCCATAGAGAGCAGTTCAGCAGTAAAACTGTAATGGCAAAAAAAAAAATCATCAACAAAAAAAGTCACCAAAAAGGTCTCACCAGGCTTCTTAGCTTAATCCCAGACATCAAAATGAATCCAAGAACAACAATGAGAAAGGAAACTGGGGGAAAGGGAGCATTACATTCCTTTCAGGCTGGCATTGAGGCTCCATGCAAACTTTCCCTCCAGCCTTTGATCTCCCCAAGATGGCTGCCACCTCTTCTTCTCCATACATGCACCTATATTCAACTTTGAAGTCCCTGTTCCTGTCTGAACAGGAACTGATTAAAAAACGCAAGGAATTCTTATAACATATTCACAAAGACAGTAATACGCACCCTCCCTTTTCCAGTTAATCAGTCAGATTATTTACACAGAACATCTACTGAAGTACTTAAGCTACACTCTTTAGATGGTTCTTCAAGCATTCTTTAGTAAAGACTGGTTCTGTGTAGAACCATGAAAACTCAGAGAACCATTTACATGATTAAAAAGTTCTATATAGAGCCATATACGCACATTCTCCATCAGCTTGAAGGACCATTTCACCATGCTGAGAACTCTGTAAGCATGCAAATGGGTGTTCATGTTTATACACAGAACCATTGTATTTACTAAAGAACCCTTGAAGAACCGTCTTTTTTTACATGCACATGAAAGCTGCTCAACAGCATAACTACTTGTGTGTGTAGGTGAGTGCACAGGCACTCGACAGGTTCTATTGTGAGGCCGGGTCACAATTTTGTGGCTTGTGTTGATTTTGATGAGCTGAAAATTACAATGACTGATAATATTTCATTTCAAACTAATATTTTAAGGTAATGTCATACTCGGACTGTGATATGATTGTTGGATGTAAAGTCTCACTTCTCTTAAACTCAAATAAGCAGTAGAAACTCATAGTTTAATGTAACATAAATACTGTAGATTCTTTATGATTTTGGTTTCTCTTAATGACCTTTTTATTTTTATTAGTTATCTTCATAGATATGATCATAGATTCATAGTTACAGGTGATTGTACACCAAAAAACATGGCTTAGTATACTACATGCCATGTCTGCTATTTTACCATATTGGCTGTAAATCTATGTGCTGATGTGCTAGTATAGACTAAAAATATAATAGAAACAAAAACTCAGACTTACTTTGCTCTGCTGTAATCTTTAGCTCAGCTAAAGATGCTTTTCTCGCATCTCCAGCAGGAAACAAAACTAGAATAGTTTCTTATAAAAAAGTCTCTCAACGTTCATTTAAAAGCCAGTCATTTTGTACTTTAGCTAAAGTTGAAATCTAAATAACTTGACTTCAGTAATATTTCACTCAGAGGATCTACTTCCACTCAGGTACTGAATTGTGTCCTTTACTGTGTACCTCACTGGTGTTGCTCGTATTGTGAAGCCTCTTTTGAAACCCATACTGTTCCTGTCTGTATTCTTGGTTTTGAAAGGTTTCTGATGTGGTTCATTTCCTCCTCTGCAGGACGAGGCTGTTGCTGCTGAACACGTTTGACCTGGCTGAAGATGCAGTCCATATAGACAACATCAGCTTCTGGATCACAGAGCTGAACCGCACACAGCCAGAGCAGTTTGCAGCGATAGCCTCCAGAGTAGAGACCTGCAGTCTGGAGGCAGAACTAGACACGGTGAAGACCTGCAGTCCTCCTGCATCACATTCACTGGACCATCAGCAGGGCTGTACTAACACAGTGGGCTTTAAGGGCTGCATGTGTTACTAAGTCACGGCTATGACTTCTATCTCGTTCCCACATTTTACCAAGTTATGACCATCACAGAATTATCTCATTCCCATGTTTTACTAAGTCATGGCCATGATTTAATTATCTCATTCCTACATTTTACTAAGTTGCCTTGCTAAGATTTGAAGTCATGGCTATGATTAATTTATCTCGTGCCCACGTCTTACTAAGTTGTAACTATGATATAATTATCTCATTGCGTGCCTTACTATGTCATGGCCATGCCACATCTTATTATGCCATGATCATGACTTAATTATCTCATTCCCACATCTTACTTAGTCATAGCATGAATATTTACTGTCCATGACGTGTTGATTGATGTTATGTGGCCGAGTATCCGACCTGTTTCAGCCACAGGAGGCTTTAAATGATATATTACCAAGTACAATTCAGTTTCACGTGAATCTCCCTCCTGCCTGTGTTCACACAGAGAGAGTTTACTGGAAATAATCAAAGATTTACAGGAACATTTCAGCAATGGGTGAAAGTCTAGTTAGTGTCTTTTTTTCAGCCTCTGTAAAGACATGAGGGGACATAATGAGATACAATCAGACGAATTTAATCTGTGCTACAAGCTGGGAGCCAAACGCTGACAAATAGAGTGACTGTTTATCAGGAATTTGTTCAAACTTGATTTTATTGCCAGAAATCCGCTATTTGGTCACTGTCACAATATCAGACCAAATGTTCCTTTAGTGATCAGTATTTTATTAACAGGTAAACACATAGAACATAAGAACTGTGTTCAAAAAGCCCAAGATAGATCTTCACAGTAGATACAGTATAGAATCAAAAATCACTACTAGACATCAAAGCAGCAACATCAATAATGACGCTAGTGATGATCAGGAGAAGACATACGTACTAAAGCAAAATATAAATAAATAGATTGAATTTAAATAAATAAACCTGGTACATATATCAGTTATATCAGTTAGCAAAGATTGTTATGCTCTCATTATTTTCATAGTTTTCTGTTATTTTCTCAGTATTTGACCAGGACACAATAGTTCTTATTTTGGCCTTATTTATTCTGGCCACTGTACATTCCAAAAGAGCAACGTCCCGAAAATGAGTAGTGAGACCGGGCAAAAGATCTTTTTTGACGAATACAGAACAATTATTCAGAGTCATCAAGTAAGAGGAAAGTCCGGGCACAGATTATTATTATTATTATTATTATTATTATTATTATTAATTGACCCTTATTAGTCCCACAGTGGGGAAATTTCACCTCTGCAATCTAACCCATCCACGCAGTGAAACACCACATACACACTAGTGGACACACACTAGGTGGCAGTGAGCACACTTGCCCGGAGCGGTGGGCAGCCCTGTCCACAGTGCCCAGGGAGCAGTTGAGGGGGGGCCACGTCCAAAACATATGCATATATGTACCAACTACTGTTGAGTTACATAAACGACAATAAGGATCTTGTCTAACCCATCAGACCAATTTTCTGATTTCTGAGTTTCGTGGAAATGCATCATAATGCGTTCAACTGGAAAAGGTGATGATCTTGGAATGCTAGAGTTGATCATCATTAAATATGAGAACATTTTATTGTGTTTGTACTCAATTTTTTTGCAAAAATATAACACTCATGCCTTTTTTAAACCAGCTTGCTGAGTAGCTTTTATCAGTACTCCAATACTGTGCCATTGTTTCATGTTTATATTTAGTGTATTTCAATAATCTGAATCACATCAAAATAATCCAAATCCAGCTGAATTGTGTGGAAATTTGAGATGCATTTCCTAAAGATCTGTAACAGAATCAAAGCATCAGTAGACTATTTAGAATGGTTTAGTAGAATTAGTAGAATATTTATGGACTAATGTACAGACGAAACGTGTTGTTCTGTGTGTTAATCAGGCTGTTGAAGGAACCGGTTTGGCCTTTATCGTGTACAGTGAGGCCATCAAGAACATGCCAGCCGCCCAGCTGTGGTCAGTGCTCTACTTCGTAATGCTGCTGCTGCTGGGGATGGGGAGCATGCTGGGAAACGTGACGGCCATCATTACTCCACTCAGAGACTTCAAAGTGCTCGCTCGCAGCCTCAGCAACGAAACCCTCAACGGTGAGAGGAGCTCAAATAAATGATTACTCCAATATTTTTTCGCCTGAGCTCTCGGACTCAGAATACCCTTAAAGTAGAGGTCAGTGGGCAGATGCTGAACGAGTGGAGGCTCATCTTCACACCATACAGGCTGTGACGTCCTACCAGAACGTCTTCTGAACTTCTTATGAAGTAACAAGTTGTATCCAACTTTACGGCGCTGGATCAGTGTGGTGGAGAAAGTAGTTCCAGTTACTTCCACTTTCCCTGAGGCTTTATTGGTATCCATACCACAAATTCTTCTGTCTGGAAACTCGTCCCATCTCATCAATATACATACAGTTGTGTGAAAAAGTTTGTGCGCCCCTGCTCATATTCCATGTTGTTGATTTTTTGAGTGAAAATAAGTTAAAACGCTTCTGCAGAGACACATCTGCACATTTTAATAAACAACTACTGTTTATTTACTGAATTTAACATATTGGGAAAATTGTAAATCATAAAATGTGGCCTGTGGAAAAGTTAAGGCACATTTTATATTTTATTAGTTATTTTTTTAAAAATCACTGGACTGGTACTGGCACACTTCCATCAGAGTGATCACTTCCGTTTTTTTTTTTTATTCATCATTTTTATGCCTGAAATTGTCTAGCAATCCCATGGTGCAATATACTATCAGAAAGCTTGAAATGGATTCAATGCCCACAAACCATTTTATGATCCGTTACTCACAGCAGTTTCGATCGTCTCATTTGCAACATGAGCACCGAACGAGCAAACGCCACCTAATCTGTGTGTCCTCACCTTCAGAGCCTCACTGCTCTCCACAGATCAAACACCATAACCCAAAACATGTGGTCTGATAACACGGCAAGAGTCAGAGATCAGTCTAGAGATCAGAGAGTCAGGAGGAAATAAAGTCCTCTATTCTGGACTCTGTTACTCTGAGTCAGTAATTCATACATTTATTCTGAAAACCTGAGAGTGTTTACTTTCAAATGAGACTGAGATCATGACTGTAGCCCAGGGTATGTGGGAACAGTGCCCCCTTTACGTTGGGTGTGCAACTTCAGGCAAAAATGGGGTGACAGTTAAGGCTAATATACTCAACTCAGTAAATAAACCAAAATTGTGAAGTGCGTCTTTGTAGACGATGTGGTAACTTATTTACACACAGAAAGTCAACAGAGTACATCATTTGACCAAGTGTGTTCCATTGTTTGCACACATATGTATATGCTTGGCCACCATATTAATTCTCCTTCAATGCACCGTAAAATGAATGCTTGTCTATGGATGCAATGAAAACATATTCCCATATTTCCCATATGCCAGGTTTGGTATGTCTGTTCTGTCTGCTGCTCGGCTTCGGCTTCACCACCCGCTCTGGAAACTACTGGTTCACCATGTTTAATGAATACGGAGCCACGTTCTCCCTGCTCTTCATCGTGCTTCTAGAGATCGTTACTGTTTCCTACATCTATGGACTGAAGAGGTAAACATGGCGTTACTCTAATCCAGCCCAGTTAGGTGTTGGGTACAGTTGATTTGACTTAGCCTTTACTGTACTGTAATACAGACCTACACAGTCTTCTCCCAGCAAATAAAGGCAGAATATGGCACTTTGTTATGCCAGAAGACACATGAAGAGGCAGTGTTTGTCCCACCAATTATTTTACGACATGAAATAAGACAAACTCTTCTAAAATAAGATCTTTCAGCCTTTAGTCCACTTTTATTCAACACTACTGCACTTTCAACAAACACTACAGCATACATTGACAAAAGAACGAAAGGTGTACAGGTCTATGCTCACTAAGTGAAACTGTAGAATAATAGTAAACGATAATAAGAAACAGAAGGATATTCATACTAATATTATTAATACCCCACCTTCAACCTGAACACAATGCATTTCATTTAAATCTACACTGTGTAAGTTTTGGGGATTTGGAGACCTCTCTGGTGGCAATGTGTAACTGCATGCAACACATTATGTATACATTGTGTAGTATGGGTTGCGCTTCGGCCCCCTTCCCCAAACGGATGAATCTGCTAATTGGAAGACAGTTCAGTTTAATGTGGATTTTGAGATCATTTGAGGTCTAAACGCCGAGAAGGACCTTCTTTTAGAGTCTGTGTGTGTGACGTTAATAAAGCGATAAAATAAATAATTAACTAAACTTAATAAAGTGTGAAAAACTCGACGCCTCTGACTTTTAAATGATTATTTCAGGCTTTACAGGGCGAGTCTCAGCAGCGCACACTCACCATATTTTAGCCTGTTTTTATTCTCCTCACTCACTCAACTTTTTTTGCACCTTTAATTATAAAATTGTACGATTAATCATAATTATACAGAACTTACTATTAGTTATTTCTGAACTAACTCTCTCTGAATGCAATTCATATTTTGTTTATCTGTTACTTTCGAAGATTAAGTTATAAATTATTTATTTGTATAACAACCAGCAATAACGACCAGGTTTACTCACTGAAATGATCCCGATGATTCAGTCTTCTAGGTCTGGAGTGCAGGTTGTGCCGTTGATGTTCAGCCAGGTTTGCTGGATCTTGAAACCTGGGCCCACGAACAGATAATGAAAGTGATTTTTGAAGATTGTTCTATGGCACCTTTTATTCATATTTTATGATTTATCCCTGTTCTGTGGCATTTCATTGAAATCTGAGGAGGAAATCTCCTCATCTGTGCAATTATGATAACAAAGTGACTAAAAAAGCACACTTTTCATTCTTCTCTGTTGATTCTCAGGTTTGAAAAAGACATTGAGGACATGCTGGGACGGCGGCCGAACTGGTACTGGAAGATCATGTGGGTGGCGGTCAGCCCTCTGCTCCTCATCAGCCTCTTCGTCTTCTACATTCTGAACTACATCCAGGGAGGAACGCCCACCTACCAGGCCTGGAATAAAGACATGGTAAGAGAGGAGCTCACTCAGATCAGACTCAGATCAGATTCAGAAATATCTTGTGTAAACTTACGTCCATATTCACACATTTAGATGACAGTGACAAGAAAAAGTATTTGAACGTTTTGGAATAACCAAATTTCTGCATTAATTTGTCATGAAATGTCATCTTCAAGTCTCAAGATTATGTGCTGAAGCTTAAACAATATAACAATAATTGTTATAACAGTAACAATCTCTTGAGGTCATTCCACTGCATCTTTATTGGGTCTGGGTTCTGACTGGGTCAGAAAGAAAGCGGATTTTCTTTTTTAAGCCATTCTGTAGTAGATTTCCTTCGATGTTTAGGGTCATTGTCCTGCTCACCAGCCGGTGGACAGCCACCCCAACATGATCCTGTAGGATGCCTTGATAAACCTGGGAATTCACTTTTCCTCAATCATGCCAAAGCAGCCTCATGACACTCCCACCACCATGTTTCACTGTTGGGATGATACTTCCATCTTGCTATGCCATGTGCAGCGCTGTGTGTTCTTTGCGAGCAAATCTTAGTTTCATCAGTCCACAAAACATTTTTCCGCTAGCTTTTTGGACTGTTCAGATTCAGAACAGAGATATTAACCAGTTTCCTGTGCCTTTAGCTGTTACGCTCGGGTTCTTTTTTACTTCACTGAGCATTCTACATTGTGCCTTTGGAGTGATCTTGGATGGTGTCCAGTTCTGGAATAGACACAGTACCTAAATCCTTTGCAACCCTTTCCAGCTTTATGCAAATCAACACTTATTGGTCATAAACATTCTCTTTTTTGCAATGCATGGTTTTCAGCAGCAGATGCTTCTTGTGAATAGCAAACTCAACATGTTTGAGCTCTAGTCTGCACCTCAAACCTCATTCCTTTCATTAGACTCCAGATTTGCCAACTCCGTGACCCCAATTAGCTTTGTGTTGAAGTCATTAGTGTAGGGGTTCACATACTTTTTCTGACCTAAACTGTGAATGTTTGAATATTGTATTCAGCACGGTCAAGAACAATACGTTAATTTTTCATATTATTAACTTAAACAGATTGGATGAATACCAGACCATATTTTTGGACGGCTTTATATAAAAATGCAGGAAATTCCAAAGGAGGCACATACTTGACACTATAATTTCAAAAGAGGCGAACTATATGGCCAAAATTATGTGGACACCTAGACCAACATTCAGCAGGCTGCCAGTCCAGTGGCGATGCTTTACACCACTCCAGCCAACGCTTGGCAACTGAGCATCCTCTTGATGCTCAGTTATTCTGCTGATGTTGCTTCCAGAGTCCAGTCTGTACCACCAAACAGGTGGAATTCCTTATTGCTCCTGATCCTGTTCAGTATTGCACATTTTAATGTATTTTATTGCAGTTATTTCTTGAAATACATTGTCTGCTTTTGTGTGAGCACTCGGCAGAACAAAGTCTCTGTATGTGGCTAATAAAACGATTCTGATCCTGATCTTCTGTGTCCTCTGTAGGGCAGGTCAGTAGTGAAGGAGTATCCGGTGTACGGCCAGGTCTTCATCGCTCTTCTCCTCATGTCCTCAGTCAGCTGCGTTCCCCTCACAGCTCTTTACGCCTTTTGTACGAGACATCAGCGTGGAGTTCCAGTCCGCGAGCACGCTGGCCGCAGTGTAACGTCCACTGTATAGGAGAGCAGTGCTGCCCTACAAAAGCAAAGAGCGGTAACTAGGCCAACAGAGAAACTGGAAAAGCAGCTTCAAACATCTATTGTTGTCCAGCCAAATATGCTGTAGGTACTTTTGTTATACAGCACAAATGTACAGTATCAGCAAATATAATTTCCTCTTTTACACCTATAACACAGCATATTAAGCTGGACCACAGCAGGACTTTGAAGTTGATTTTCTCAGTTTCGTTGTTGACCTACTTCCTGCTCTTTGTTTGCCTTTGTAGAGCAGAGTGGCTCAGAGACCAAACACCTTCACATACACTATATGTCCAAAAGTATCTAGAAACCTCTACTTGACACTGAACACCACTAGATGAGTTGGAATGATGATGCACTATTAAGCGCCTTTGTGATGACTTGGGGTGATGGAGCACCACTGAGCACCTTTGGGATGAGTTGGAGTGATGGAGCTCCTCTGAACACCTTTGGGATGGATTGGGATGATGGAGCTCCATTGAACACCTTTGGGATGGACTGGAATGATGGAGCTCCACTGAGCACCTTTGGGATGACTTGGAGTGATGGAGCTCCTCTGAACACCTTTGGGATGACTTGGAGTGATGGAGCTCCTCTGAACACCTTTCGGATGACTTGGAGTGATGGAGCTCCTCTGAACACCTTTCGGATGAGTTGGAATGATGGAGCTCCACTGAACACCTTGGGGATGAGTTGGAGTGTTGAACCTCCACTGAACACCTTTTGGATGAGTTGGAGTGATGAACCTCCACTGAACACCTTGGGGATGAGTTGGAATGATGGAGCTCCACTGAGCGCCTTTAGGATGAGTTTAAATGATGGAGCTCCTCTGAACATCTTTGGGATGACTTGGAGTGATGGAGCTCCACTGAACACCTTTGAGATAGGTTGGAATGATGGAGCTCCACTGAGCACCTTTGGGATGAGTTGGAGTGATGAAGCTCCTCTGAACACCTTTGGGATGAGTTGGAGTGATGAAGCTCCACTGAACACCTTTGGGATGAGTTGGAGTGATGAAGCTCCACTGAACACCTTTGGGGTGAGCTCATGTGGCTGTTGCAGATGGGAGACAAACTCACTATTAATACATTTTATTTCAGGATCGTTGGAAGAGCAGGGGTCTGGATAGTTTTGGACATATAGGGCCAGTTTCCCAGACCCAGATTAAGTTTAAGCCTAAACAAAAAGTAGGCTTAACCCATGTCCAGGAAACCAGCTCATAGTGTATTTACACACATCCCAGAGTTCCACAGTGGAGCTAAGGTTGTAATGAATAAAAGTTTGGAATATCCAAGATTTAAGATACACATGCTGCAGACATATGATAAACAATAAGAACAATAATCAAGGCTTTCCTATAATTAAAACTATCTATTAAAAACACATTTTAAAATGCAGGTTCCTCAGCGTCCAGCCCATGAAGGTTTCCAAGTGTCCACAATGTCCATCTTGAATATACATTCAAAATCAACTGTATGGAATTGTTACTACTTTTATTGTGTAATTATACAGGTGTATTTTAAAATTGACCACTTTATTTCACAACAGCACAACTTACACTGATAATAATACTAATAATGTGATCTGAGTACAATAAAGAATTATTGGAAGTGAAATGAAGTGAAACACATTAGCATCCTCCATATTGAACAACCTGAAAAAACAGACTGATTTGTTCAGATTTGCCTTTTTTACAGTTGGTCATGTATGTTTTAGTAGTCATTTATATCAGTAGGCCTGAGATTTCAAAATGATTCACTAGCAAGTTCAGTTTTAATTACCTGGAACAAAACTAATCTAATTCTAACATTCAGATTTTTCTAGTGAGAATTATATTGAAGCATGTCAGATTTAGTAAGAACTCCAATTCATTCAAAGAACGTTATTTTTACTACTATGAATTGAATTTTAAGGTAATCCCATTTTCACAAGTACAAATGACACTTTTGACCTTCTAATTATTACATGCAAGAAGAGAAAACATCTGAAACATAATAATTAGAATGTCAATATGTTAACTTTATTATCACCTGTGAAAACTGGCCCACCATATTAAAATTCAAATTAAAATTTACAATGAAAATAAAATTTTTAAATTTGAATTTTATTCAACTGTCAAAACTGTTTCTCATATTAAAAAACATTGGGAAAGCAATGGTATTCTACAGCTAACATGCTAAAATATAATTCCAGTGCTGCAGATTACAAGCTAAACCATTCTGCCGTACCTGTGGCTGATAGATTATTGTTATGCTTTGCTGTTAATGAGATATGATTGTTTCTGTTAAACAGTGGTTGATATTTCTAAAGTCATCAGGGGCCAAAGACGTGATTCTGAGGGAAAATATGAGAACACTGTGAAAAAGAGAACCCTGTTCAGTACAGCAGAACACAGTACTGTATGCAGACATAACACACTCAAAGCTTTGGGTTTAAAACAACGTTCACATGTTTGTGCTTGTACAGATGTTGAATGAATGAATGAAACTGATGTGTTTTTCTAAATGTTTTTTTCTAATAATAGTGATTAAGAATCTGTTGGCACTTCACGACAGCCGACCTTTAGAGTCTATAGAGAATAGATAGCTTTTAAAATAGACTTTGTAAATATAGCTTAAAATTCTATAGTGTGAAATGTTTAACTTTTATTTTTATTCTGTTGTTACTGATTTAATGATTTTCATTTACATAACCATGAAACTAGTGATAAACTTCTGTTATTAAGTAGTTATAAACTGCCAAAGTCTGCATTATAACAGCAGGACTGAATGTGAAGCTGCTCTCTTTAAAATAAAGTCTCTGTTTCAGTTTGTAGTCGTTGTGTGTTTAGCTGCTGATTTGTGCCCTTATGATGGTGAACTCATTAATAAGCATATGTGAATGTTCTGTGGTCTAAATGGGCTCTGAGCACAAATTTGAGGATATTTTTAAAAATTCATCAAATTTTACTGCAAAAAAAAATGAATTTTGCATCACCAGATATGTTATAAATTATAAAGGAGGAGGAGACGGTCACTGGTCAAAATATAAATGGGAAGACTTGTAACATTCAACGTGCTGTCTGTTTGCATAGAAAGTCCCACCCTTTAATAAAAACAGCAGGAAAATCACATTTTTTGTGTGTCATTAAGCCAAATGCTACAAATTGTTTATAAGGTTGTTATAATATTTTATCAGTAACTTTAAAATGGTGAAATGGTGATTTCATCTTCAGTTTGGAGTATTTCGGCCTCTCCTCATTCAGAGAGAGAGTCTAGTCTTGTATGGCTGAAAGAACTGCCCGGCTGTTTTGCCAAGACAGCCACAGAGTGGACAGACTTTCCAATAAGGACTTTGGTATCATTCTTGATTGCATTTTTAACTAAACAAATAAAAAAATCCAAAATTGATTTTGAATAAAAGTATGAAAATGTTATTGGGTCATCGGTCGGGTTCTGTTAGATGTTCATCAAAGATATAGTTAAGCAAAATAATATCACTTTAGACCAATCAGAACAAGTGCTGAGGGTTTTCCTCATCAAACTACACTCTTAAAAAACGATGGTTCTTCAAGGTTTCTTAGTAAAGAAAATGGTTTTATACAGAACCATGAACAAGTAAAGAGCCCTTTGCACACATATTAGGTTCTTTGTATAGTGAAATGATGGGGAATGTACTGTAGATGGTTCTATATAGAACCATTTTCTTTACTGAAGAACCCTTGAAGAACCATCTTCTGTAAGTGCTGTTTGGCGTGAATGGCTAAAGACAGAACAAATTGATGAATTCTCAAATTTTTATACAATTCAATTTTCTTTATTCATGAATCAGCATTAAAAAACACCAAAATATACAAATGTGCAACTGTTACACATTAGTAAATAATAATAATAATAATAATAATAATAATAATAATTGTATTTATAGAGCAATTTCATACCTGCTTTACTAACAGTAACAGAACTAATGTTAGTTTTTCTTTTATCTCAGTTCCTGTTCTTTAACAGCAATGTGTGTATATATATATATATATATATATATATATATATATATATGTATATATATATATATATAATATAAGAGAATTAAACAAAAAAAGAGACAGAAAATACAAAAAAGAGAATTTTGATTAAAAGCTAAATTAAAGAGTTTTGTTTTCAGATGTTTCACAGTGTAGAAGCAGAATAACAGAAAGAGGCAATAAAAAGCTTTTATAGAAAATAAAAACAACACGTTAATATGTAAATATGTATTCTTATTGGGAGATTTCTACAATTTGGTACAGAAATGAGTGCATAATTTTATTATACTCAGTTCAGTTGTACTAAAATTCCAAAACTGAATGGTCAGATCTTCACAGGCTAATGCTGATGGTGAGTGGATCTCAGCTAAGTTCTCATTCCTGATTGATCTTCATGGTTCTTCTGACTGTACATTGTTCCCCTCGTGTCTCATTGTCAAGGCTGTGTAGACAAAATGCTTTTAATTGCTGGACCTCCAGCTGCTGCTGAGCCCACTTTCTTTTCTCCAGTCTAATCTGCAGCGGCATGTTAAGCTCGTTATTGCCTTTTCTTTGTTTTCTGGAATTTGTGTCCAAGACGCTGGTCCAGAGTTCAGCTCAAAGGCCAGAAAAAACAAAACAATCAGAATATTTCCACTCAGAAGAGTCCAGACACGTCCTGTGGATCTGCTCTCAGAACAGATGTGCTGCAAACAATATGCAGTATGTTATTTTCAAACACATCTGTGTCCAGTTAAGGGACATTCCACCCATAATTACATGGTTAAGATGTAATCAGAGCGGTTCAGAGTGGTTCAGAGCGGTTCAGAGCGGTTCAGAGTGGTTTGGTGTGAAACGCTCTGTTCTAGATAAACTTACTGAGTCAGAACTGTTCACAGTGGTGGTGATAGGAACCAGACATCCACCTCTAAAAGCTCCCTCACAGAAAGTTCCTACATGAAATGGTTATGAATTCACTGCCTGATGACTGAGACACTGTTTTATGATAGTTTAGAGAACTTAAACTCCATTCATGGTGGAGGGATACATGCAGGGCGCTGTGAGGCAAAATAGTCCCCAAAGAAAACTGATTATTTTAGATTTTCCACTATTTTCCATCATCAACATTCCATATAAACTCAGAAGACTCGTGTAGGTTCACTGGTGGTTCTGGATAGTAAATAAAATGTCTATATTTGTGTTGTAGTCATGGCGACCCCTGGTTCCTATCACCACCACTGTAAAGACATCTGAACCATTTCACACCGAACCGCTCTGAATCACTCTGATTACATCTCAGTGTGTAAAAGTAGTGCGACATAGACAATAAAAACATTATACCATAATAATTTTTGCCAATTTTCTTTAAAACAAAAACAAAAATACTGTTTTATTGATGCATATTATACCTGATTATGATCAATTAAAGAGTTTAATTGAAAAATATTTTGTATCTGCAAACATTTTGGATGTAGCAAGAAGGTATCATGAAAACACGTGTTCATTTCTCTAATATAGGTGATATTAATCATAACATAGCACTGATATTTGTGTAAAGCTCACTCTCAACTTATATCATGAAAAAATAATAATGAATTCCTGAATGTGGTTTATAACGTTTGTTTTGGTACATATACAAAAACAGTCATAATTCGTTGCTACATGACATTTTCTAACCTCTTACTCTGTCTTTAAGACTGATATATGCAGATGAGCTCTTTTCTGACTGGGCGGTGCCAAACTGCACCAAACGGCTGAACAGGTGGATATATGTAACATATGTGCTGCTTTTTGTTTACATTTGTTTACAGTGTTGTTTACTAGTTTACTTTTTTTACTGGTTTGATTCATTCAATGATTTTTACTCTTTTCATGCCTTTGTTCTCTGTTCTAAAGCTCGGCTACAC